ATTAGAGCAAGTCACAAGGAATGTCACGTTCTGCGATTGCAGAAATAACAAAGCATCAAGCGTCTATGGCCAGTATCAGCTTTGCAGCTACGGACATCAAGAGTCATCCAAACCTGTTTTGCAATGATGGCCAGCTCCTTCTCCTTTATACTCCTGGGGCACCCGACCATATGGCCTAGGGAAATAGCCATGTTTTCCAGGACAATATATGAAGCGTCGTCGTGATTGAAGATCTCTTATATCTGACAGATGTTGGGGTGTCTGCGTACCTGCGAGGCTTCCAGAGCACGACTTGCGTCTCTGGTACTTTTGATCATATACAAAGCTCTTGATCCTGTAAGCTTCCGGACAACAGCAACAGCACCACAAAGCTCTATCCGATAGAGACTCTCGTACGACGACCATGGTGATAGCGACGATATGGGGATTTGGCCGCGTGGCTGAAGGGCAGAGAATTTCTCGGGCACAAGTCGCAAATCCCTCGGGTTTCGAGAATCAGACACAAAGCTCCGTTGGCGTATGCGTTTTGGCCTTGATACCTCGGTGATCTCTAGGATTTGAGTGTGCTGTTCATCCTTGTGGTCACTAAGAGACGAGCTGGAGCTGCTTCCAGGCCAGATAGTGTGTCGTTTCGTTTCCGCCTGAATAGACATGTCAAATCGCAGGAGTGACCCAGTGACTACGAGGGTTGTAGTTGAAGTGATATTGCTACTTTCTCTACGAAGCTTATATGATTCTCGTCATGTACATCTTGCGCTGGCCCAAATTTAGTCTTAGACTTGAAAATAGCAGTGCGCCCTCAATGGCCCGGAATCGGGTCTCGACCCTGCCTTGCTTGTGTGCCAATAGGGACACATGACATGTTACTAACAATGCGACAGACTGAGACCGCCTGTATGGGCGTCAGGGAAGCCATTGCATAATTCCCGCATTCGGTAACTGAAGACTGTGAATGTCCATCCCTGCAAGTACATAGCGATAGCCCCATCTCTGATTCTTTCGTCGCCCCACGAAGGGAAGACCGAAAAGTCTACGGATCTCTATCCACCCAGGCTCTAGTTCGACTCGGACATGATGTGCTAGCTTTGGAGTTATACGATAAAGAAGTTCTCCATCTCCCGTGTCAAAGGTCTTTAGTAAGGTGCGAGCCCCCAGGGCAGAAGACAAGACGCCTGGGTTTGCATTGCATACATGTTAGAAGATGATCTTCGTAACGGGTAATGATTGATATCTCTACTCGGTAGGCCCTCGAGAAATTGATCTGACAATTTGAGGTAATAAATGGACCGTGGGAGCAGCCATGCTTGTCAGTAACTCGTTGTTAGCATGTAACTACTCGAAGCGTATGGTGAGACGAATCTATATAAGGTAGGCTTACCTGTCCACTACCCTTGCGTGATTGATCCTGACATTTCACGCCACTCTCCTTGTGTTGACTGTTATCCACACCATCCAGTTTCATCTGTCCTCGCGCGGCGCGACATTCTCATAATGGTAGCACTGGTCGTGGTCCGGCCCATTTTTCTTCCTGGTACTAAAAATAGCCGTAATGTGAAAGGGCGCTCAAGACGCTGCACACGTTGCGCCCCTGTCTATCCCCCAACGGATTGATGAGGTGTCACACATACTCTGAAATGCACGCCTTAACCTCGTTCCCCTCTTCCACTGAGCTTCGTGCGCCATATCTAAACCCCTTCTCTCAAGTGTAACACTGCAGCATCTTCAAAAGTCATGCTAAAGTTTGCTCTCCCAGTGATTCTGACCTTCTTAGGCATAGCAAGAAGCGTGTCCCAGCAAGATGCTCGGTCACCTCGATTGGTCATGTACTATGATCAGTAAGCATATCCTCAAGCAACTTCAGGCGGCGCACCATACTAAACGGGCATCAGGTGGCATCCAGATGCCTCGATGGATTTGATCCGTTCCAAAGGCATCACGCATGTCATATTGTCGTTCATGCTAAGCCACCACCTTAACAACGAAACATTCGATCCACTGTGGACGGATGATGAACCTGGCCATAAATGGCATGTCAGTGCGTTGAAAAGCCTGAAAGTGAATTGCCCCGATGTCCAAGTCAGTCTTGCGGTTGGCGGATGGAACGACGACCCCGAAATCGGTTGGCGGAAGACCATAGAGAGCGACGCTAGTCTGTCTCTGTTCGTACAGAATCTCCACAGAGTTCTCTATGGCGATTTCCCCATATTTGAAAACCATCAATTCGATGGAGTTGGTAAGCAAGTCTCTTCAAACTTCCTGTTGGAATGCTATTGATCACCGTAGATATCGACTGGGAATATCCAGGCGGGAATACTGTTGACTACAAGAGTAACCCACAGGCCGCAGACCGTTTGCTCTGTGAAACGGACGGTTACGTCAAGCTTCTCCAGGCTATTCACGCCGATCTATCACCCGACGGAAAACATTTGTCCATTGCAGTTCCAGGAAGGCCTAGTGACATGCTTGTCTTCGAAGACAGTGCCAAGGCTAAAACGATATTTGACTCCGTGGACTTCGTCAATCTAATGACATATGACCTTTACAATCGACGAGATAACATCACCGCCCATCACTCCTCGGTGGAGGGCACCTTGGCTACAGCGAACGCATATCTCGAAAAAGGACTGCTTTCGGGCAAGATCAATCTCGGGTTTGCACTGTATGCTAAGTGGGCTCATGTGAGCGGCATCTGTACTCAGCTAGGTGGGCTTGGCTGCGATACGTTTGCCCTGGAAGACAGCCAAGGAGCAGATACCCTTCAATCCGGCTCCATGACTTTCGAAATGAAGAACACGTTAGACGTCCCTCAGAGCTTCTCTGTGCCGGATGGTGGGCGCTGCGGCCCTGGTACAGGAGCCAAATGTAGTCCGGGCTTCTGCTGCTCCAGCAAGGGCTGGTGGTGTGTACGATGCCGTTGTTAATGCTCTAGAGAACTAACTCAAGTTCTAGTGGCGACACTCCCGAGCACTGTGGCTATGGTAGATGCAACCCTCCATATAGCGGCTCCGACAGCTGCCAAGGTCCTGACCTCTGGAAATCCTGGAAAGCCGCGCTCGCAGATCCTATAGATGACGGTCACGCTGGCGGATACACTTACTTTGATCCGACTGATGCTCTATTCTGGACGTGGGACCCAATAAAGTATGTGCAGCTAAAGATAGATCACATAGTAAAAGACAAATGCTTAGGTGGCGCGATGGCGTGGAGTTTTGGAGAAGAGAATGCAAGTCTACCGGACCATATCTCGGCCCTAAGCACGGGAATTCAAAACATCGATCTGACAGGCTGCAAACGACTGACGCCGTCGACAAATCCTTCTAGTATCAGTCAGGTTGATCAACCAACAGGCGTTGTAGTAAACGTAAACTCCGGCAGCGAGCCACTGCAGCCTTCCCCATCGAAAGAGTCCCCACCAGACGGTGGAATCGTAAACTTGGTGGTTACCCTAACAGCAGATTTTACGCCGCCTCCTGTGGTCACCATCGTAACTTGGATAACGCAGGTGGGCTAGCTTTGCATCATTGGGCCCTGATTCCCCCAGACATTATTGAGAGTCACGTGGAATAGAAATGATGTGTCTTGACTTGCTGTAACACAGTTTCTGATAAGAACCTTCATAGGAAATTAATGAAGCTCTTCCCTCCTTGGCATGACTATCTCTATAACAGGTGAATGGCACACAGCGTTGGGCCTGCGTCCTTTCAACGTGGGAACTTCTGAAATTCTTCGCTGGAAAGAGCAGGTGGAAGCTGATGTGGTTTCATGATCAGCTAGCGACTAGTCACCAGGACAGAATCTCTCACGGCTCAGTTTCAATCGTAACGATATTAGCGCTGAATATTGTAGTGGCTCAGTAAAGTGTGACGGCTCAGTAAAGTCTGCGGCTCAGTAAAGCCTTAGTGACTGAGCATGCATTACCGTAAGTCACTTGGTATGAGCTCTTTACCTGGGGTATACTTCGCAACTTGGTACTTTATGCGAAATAGCCCTACCTGACTCGTAAGCATGGGCCAAAAATTGGTCAATAAAAAGTTCCGCAAGGCTAAAGACAATTTTCTTCGGAAAGGCGTGCTTTTCAAGAAGAGCTATGGCGCAGATATCTTCATTGTCATAAGGCGCGGTCAAAGGATTTATATATGTGACTCCGAGGACGGTGTCTCTTGGCTGACAGATCTGAAGATGCTATCAAGATGAAGCCGCTGATCATCTGGGAGAATGTACTGAGAAGAGATAGGGTAGCCGATGATGTGATTGCGACAGAGGGATGATAGGCTATGTACAATACAGATCATTCCACGAACAGTACGCGAGTAGTCCGCGTGACGTACATGATATACCATTCGAGGTCCGCATCACCATGAATTTGGGAAACAAATGTATGAGCAGCAGGATCTCCGAGAGTCCATTGCTTTGAAAGCTTCTGATAGGGGCATCTTATGGCTTGTTCTTTTCCGGATACACCTATTCTCCGTCCATTCCAGCACGCTACGGATTGGGTGTTCCTTCGGAAGCGTGCTTCTGGGTCTACGCATACTAGGGCAGCGATTGGACAAGTCAAATTAGCGGCAATCCAGCGACAAGCGTTCAATTCAATGTGGATTGGAATATGCCCTTGGCCAATTACCCGCCAGCGTCTCATTCAGTCGCAGTACAGACACACCATCGACGGCAGAGACCGACTACTAGCTACGTGTGCGAAATACCTGTAGAGACAAGTACTGGCTGGTCGCAGTGTTCTAAGCAGTTTCGGAAGGAGAATCGCTATCTACGACACTTTGGGTCACACCTGGTGCCAAGTAGCAATAGTCTCTACCTGCCATGGCTTGTGCTTGACAACGACGAAATTCAGGAAATGGGTGATGCAGACATTGTGGCGTTTGTGAAGAGCCTTCGGTCGGACATGTTGAGCGCAAAGCAATGGAATAAATTTATTACTGCCGTTCAGAAAGCGAAGCCTACCGAGGAGGCTACTAAGATTATCGTGACGGTGTTTAGACACTGCGTTAGTAAAGACGAGAACACCCGTAAGAAG